ACCAAAAGTGTTCAAATCCTAATTTCTTCAAGACTAGTTTCTCTAAATAAGAAAATTTAACAGACATAAGAAATTATCCTATCAAGATAATTTCTTATGTCTGTTAAATTTTCTTATCTATCAAATAAGAGCAAACTAATGTTTTAAGAAAACCTTGTTACTTCAATCCATAGATTATTAAACTTTGGTTCATATAAGTACATTAAATAACTTCAACTGATTGTGCTAATTATAGCCAATTTAATCATACACAAACTTTTTGAGATTCACCCTCCACAAATCTTGTGTAACTTAAATGTTCTACAACTTGTTTACATCCTTAATTTTCTCCTTTTTTAAACCTTGAATTTTAGCACAAGAATATTATTTTATCAGACAAAACAAAATGTTCTCTCATCAAGAACACTTCCTTTACCTTTTAAATTTCTGTACCAAATTTTTTTCTATGCCTATAACTTTCCTTTATCTCTATTAGTTTCAGATCTTCTCTTAAATTTATATTCTGAAACAATTTTTATGAATGTTATCTATGCATTTAATTTAAAAAGCAAATTTCATCCCAGGAGAGGGATCAGAAAATGTAGTATATACAAAAATTGTGCTGTAATTCTTTTCTCCCAGGTTGCAATCAAGGGGTTAGGGCACAAGATATTTTTTTAGCCTGACCTGTCCCCCTTATCTTTATGACAATGTCATCAATTTTAAGTTGAGTTCCCCAACATTAATTGTGCCTAGATTCTCCTTTTGGGCTTTTTTCTTATACTAGGCATATTAATATTTAATGAAGGAGTCCCCAGTGAGGTTATCTTCATTTGAGTGGAGCCAGGCTGAAACACAGTGCTAAAACTGCCAGCACTGGGTTGAAATGATTCTTTTGTAACACTTTCTTTTTTTAGTAGAATTATACAATTTATTGAGTAAATTTTAGCCAAACTTTTTATACACTAAGGATTCTAGGGAAGCAATAATAGCAAGAAAAGAAAATTCAAGATTTCATTTTAAATACTACTATGACAGTAGCACAAGTATATTTGCCAAACTTGATTAAACCCAAGCCTAATAATGAAGAGACACGTGGAGAAATCCAAAATATGGAACAATTGTTCAAAACTCTTTGGGAAAAATTGCATTTTTTTAGTTGTCAATTGACCTTTATTTATGTGGTGCTAAGAATCAAACCTAGGACCTCACACATGCTAGGCAAATGCTCTACCACAGAGCCACAACACCTAGATATATATTGTTAAGGCAGGGAAATTGTTCAAAATTAAGAACTTAAGGTAAATAATAACCAAATGCAAGGTACAAATCTTGATTGGAACCTGGCTTAGAAAAATAAAACCCAGCCATAAGACTTTTTTTTTCAAACAATTGAAGAAACTCAATATAAATTATGTATCAGATGATATTATACAACTAATATTAATTTTCTTAAGCAGGATAATTGGATTGCAATTGGTTATGTAAAATTTAGCCTCAGTCTTTGAAAATTCTTTCTCCCTGTATCCTCTCCTTAGGTGTGTATATGTATGACTGGCCAGCTGAATTCTTTTAGACAAAATACAGAGTAAAGAATTTAATCAACAAAACAAGTGAGGAATATTCCAGATATGTGCATATACATTATAAATATAATTGTATGCATGTATCTATGACTGTGTACATAGGTAGATAAAGAAAATGGAAAATATTTAAAAGTGGTGAATTTGAGTAAAAAATATTGTAACACTTTCTTTTGATGAGCAGCTTCTTAGCTTCTATCCTGGCATGTCAGAGGCAGTGCCTTTTGCTTCTTCAAACTTAGTTCCTGACTGTTCAGACTCCTTATCATATAACTGCATAAATATCTTCACATACAGAATCTTCTATATCTTTTACCACTCACAGACAAATTCTAACTATAAGATTATATAATTATCCAGAAAACCATTTAAAGGCCAGAGAGTGTTATAGTGAAATATTGTTCTCTTGGGCACTTGTGAGCAGCTTCTTAACTTCTTTAGTGCCATCATCCAAGATGGATCAGCATCTCCTTCACCATGTCTATAGGTGGCCCATTCAGCCAAGATTCTTTTAAGATCAATGTAACATGGCCCATGTCTTAAATGGCCAGTAACAGGTACAAAAAATCGTGAAGAGAATCACCAAAACCAGGGCTGATAGGCAGGAACCTTTAAAATTGACAAACTTGTACATACAAATTTTCCTCACCTTGGATAGTGAAGGATATGGGCAGATGATAGAGTGGGAACCACTGCAGCTTACTCAGAGTCTCCTTTCCCCTCCTTGTTGGTATTATTCCTAGAGTCAGAAGTCTGAGAGTGTTAGCCTTGAGGAGGCCTAAAATTTGGATCCAAATAAAACAACAGTGTTTTATCATTATTTGAGGGTTTTTTTCCTTTTTTAATTCCTGTAATCCATGAAAGTAGAATTTTATCCCTCAATCGTCTTCCTTTTAGTGAAGACCCAGAAAGAAAGCAATCTTAAACTCTTTTTCATAGAAGTTGATGTTTTAGCACTTTAACTTTGTAAATTAATCACATATCTCCTCTAACAAACACATTTATGATGAATCCCATTGAAATTGATGTTAAATCTAATGTATTCATAAACGGTAAAAATCAAGATATCAGCCGAGTACAGTTTACAGTAGTAGCTATCTCTTCCTTGTTGAAGAGAAACCCTAGAAACAATCCATATTACATTTTAGATATTTTAAGGAAACCAATACTCTGTTAATTGTCTGACCACCTAGAAAAACATGTGCATTAGTAATTTTAAGGACATCTTTACTCTCATCTGTTTACCTAATTTAAATTGATCTTCTTTTTTCAATCACATACACTAAAAGATATTTGGATCCATTTTTTATTTAAATTTAAATTTTTGAATGCTCATTTATCTATATGCCAATGTTGATACCATGTATATGACAGAGAGACACAAACACATATGTAGACACAACAATATTGTATACATACGTGCACACATACACAAAATAAACAAGAAACAAAGATTTTGTAACTTTTTTGTAAGTGGAGCTCCACAGGTAGGAGGCAATGTTGCAGGTGTTTATTAAAACCTCTATTAGATTTGACCTGTTAGAAATAAAAATAGAGCCTATCAGACTTTTCATTATGACTTAAATATATACCAGGCCTATACAGTTGGAAATGCCAAGTATAAAATCTAACATCCATGTGGGACACTGAAATCAAAGGTTCAGATATCTGGCTATTTGTCCTCAAAATAAGCCTTATGCCCAACATCACCATATCTATGTCCCTTTTAGGATTTAGTAAAGAGATTTTTTCAATGTAATTGAGAGTCAACTCTTGAAAAATTGGCCTCTGAACAAAGACAAAGTGTAAAAACTTCTATAGTTAGGTAAAGTAAAACGGATGAGAAAAATACATTAATTTAGGTGCACAAGATCAAATATGAATTTACCATAAAATTATGAGCTCAAAAATATAGGATTTTTAAAAAACAGGATTTCTAAAAAAATACACAGCTTTAATACATGAGTAAAGAGCATGTAGAACATCTTTATCAGAGTTTACTTTTAGATTTGATTAGTCAGTTCAGATACTGAAAGAATGAGAGAGCACTGAAATCCTTACTAAATATTCTCAAGTAAAAGAAAATTTGTATATATGAAATCATTCCATTTTTCTTCTTGTGCTGTACCATTAGGAGGGAACTTGTTAAGAAAGCAAGCTGGTAGAATGAAAGCAGATAAAATAGCCAGTCAAGCCATAAGTGGTTTGGATTTTTTCCCTTTTTTCTTACTTTTGGTGGGGGTTCATCTTCTATTTGGGGGGCAGTAACTGAAGAGGGCTGGAGATCAGGACCTGAGTCAGGGATTTATGAAGTGAGGAGATATTGAGAATTACTTGTAGAGCAGAGCAAGGTAGGCATAATGAGGTCCTTGAGTGAAGATAAAAGAAAGCTTGGAGGTAAGGAACCTCATGCCATTTGCCATTTCATTGGAATAAATTGTCTATTCCATTTGCCATTTCATTGGAATAAATCCTTGGAGGATTTTTAAAAATATATTTTTAAAGGTCGATGGACCTTTATTTTATTTGTTTGTATGCAGTGCTAAGAATCAAACCCAGGGCCTCACACATGCCAGGTAAGTGCTTCTACCACTGAGCCACATACCCAACTCCCTTGGAGGATTTTTGATCCCAAATTCCAAATTGAGGACATTAACTTAAGTTGTCTAATTTAGATTATGGCCAGATCTGAGTACTAAGCCTAATGAGGTGTTAGTTTGAGGTCAGTTTGGAAGTGGAGGGTCTTAAAATTATTTATAAGACAACCTAAGGGGGAGTCCCATAGAATAGACTGGGTTGCTCCCATGTTGTAGAGGATGGACTGGGGTGGGGAGTCAAGATCAAAGTGAACTTTAATGTCTCCTGTCACTTGAAAGAGTTTCATCAGAGAATGAGGAGGCATCCCCTTATACAACCTTAATATCGGGGGTACCCTGGGGTCCAGATGAGCCAAAAGGTGGAAGGTCTTGGGCAAGGCGCCTCTCTGGCGCCTGGAAGTGATATTACCTTTCTAAAGAATATCACCAGTGTTGCGTGTAGAAGAAAATGGTAGAAAGCAGCCTCCGATCTGGAAGTATTTGAGTAATACATGGAAAGAGGAAGAGAAAAAAAATGGGAAGGAAATATGAAAAAAAAACAGTAGAGGTTCAGTAGGACAAGGAGGAGTAAGGAGCCCTGAAACTCCATCCTGGTTTTGGCACCAAATGAAAAAGAATATAGAACTAAAAAGTAATGGAGGCAGATGTCACTGAAACAGCAATGCATTATTAAGCAGTGAAGGGGCAGATTTTCATGAGTGGCTACAATAATGGTTTGAGTTTTATAGTGTAGAGGACCTGAGTCCTAGCAGGAAATGTGTTTATTATGGTTGGAGGGAGACCTTGGGCAGCCAGGGGGCTGATTGTAGATAAGGAAAATTGCAACAAATTCAGAGCCAATTATACTCCCTTTCTCCTTGGGAGTTGTTAATTTCTATATGCTTCACAGTAAATGAAATTTAAATATAGCTCCTATCTTCTAAACCTTGCCAAAGAAAGACTGGCCTGTTTTCTGGAAGTGCATATTCTGGTAAGGGCCCACAGCACAATATTGAACCATGGCAGCCTCAAGATCAACTTCACTGTATCCCTGAACGAGACAAACTGGAGGAGGGTCCTGACAAGGGCTTTTGCGATCCCCTTACCTTAGTGTTCCATGACCACTGAAGGGCAAAGCAACTGCAATTGCTTCTTCCATAAGGGGTGGGAGTCTGCCACTGGGAGACTCTGGACTGCCACTGGGAGACTCTGGACTGCCACTAGAACTTGCTGTTCCAACCACCTGCCCCTCAGAGTCAGGAACCACACCCGCTGATTTAGGATTGGGTGATGTCAACCAGGTCTGTGCATAAACACATGGTCACATGTGACTTGCAGTGGTCTATAGCAAGGAGCTCCAGGAACGTGAGGAGGATGAAAGTAGACAAGATGGTTAAGAAATTCTGCCCACATCCTGCATGGGGAGGGAGTGGGTAACCATCAGAGGAAATAAAAGCTATGAATGTAATATTAAGAAATAAAGACAGGAGCTGGGACTGTAGCCCAGTGGGAGAGTGCTTGCTTAGCATGAGTAAGACACCAGGTTCAATCTTCAGCACCACATAAAAATGAAACAAAAAAAAGAAAGCAAGCCTTTTTTAATTAAAAAAAAAGTAAAAAAACATAAAGACATAAAACAAGAATTATATGTTCAAAAGCAGGGGCATAACGGGTTGGATAGACCTGATGGGTGTAATCCTAACAAAGAAAAAAATCCCACAAATGCTTTATTTGTAGTAGAACACATCAAAGGGTTTCAGTGTGGCAGGGTTCTTCAGGAAACCAGGATAAAAGTGGGGAAACAAGTTGTTTGGGGCTTGATAGGTTATGCCCATCTCTGGTGGCTGCATTTGAACCTAAGGCTCTGAGTTCTGGCTATCTGCCAGGATGATTTGGGCTTTCTCAAAAAACCAAGCAATTTCACCTGGGAGTTCCCAGAAAAGCAGCCTCCCTGCCTTATGATGGCTCAAACAAATCCAGTAGTTCACATAGCTTCTAGGAGAAAAAAAAAAAAAAAGCTGCTGACTAGGATTAGGGTGAAGGACAACCCGAATAAGACCAGGAGGATTTGGGGACACACATGTTGTAGCAGAAGGTGGCAGTGAGTGCTCAATCATCCCTCTGGAGAACAGGGTCAGGACACTTTCATTATCATTCTCCTGGTGTTGTGGATGTGATTAGGAGCCATGGGGAGACTTCTGTATCTGCAATCTCAAGGTCCAGGAGACACAGCTAGACCTATCTCAAACCTTCCTGGCAACTCTGGAAACAGACAGGAAGCCACATGAGTGGCCCCCAGGCAACAGGCCTCCCAGGAACCAGGAGACCCTGCTGAAGGGTGTGCCTTGTGACACCCTGGGTTCTCTCTCTCTAGAAGAGAGGCATCGGGTATATCCCTAAAGCTCTCTGAGCCTGTGTGTCTTCCTCAGTAAAACATTGCAAATTAATACCTGCCTTCTAGTGTTGTTCTCAGGATTCAGTAGAATAACATAAATAAAGCCATGATGTATCCAGTCACTTGCTTGCCACCCTCATTGTCCCATTATGGGCTCTCTGAGTGCTTGGTACTTGAGGATGGCTCCCTGTGGCAGTGACACTGCATTTTCCCAGTCTTTTGGATGCTCTTCAGGATCCATAGTGAAGAATCCTGTGTTCCTAAGCACAAGTTTCAGCAAAGCCTCTTGTCTGATTGTAAAGGTTTAGGCTGCTGAGAAGGCAAAGGACTGGCCTTTACATCTTGTCCTAGGGTTGGGACTAGGCCCATGCTGAGAATTCTGACCTTGCACCCATGTTCTCAGAACCACAGGGTCCAGGGGGGCCTCAGCCCTCAGACTGTGACTGGCTTCCAGGGGACACTGTTTAACACCCTTCCTATTTCTGGGGATAGTCCTAGTTAATCATTGTATGGCTTCTGGACACTTGTTGATCATAAACTCCAGGATGTTGGATCTGGCTTGTGATGGAGAAAGTATTCCAATTCTTCTCTCCTTTGTTAGCTCTGTCTAAGAGATCTGCAGGGAAAGAAAGATCTGTAATGGCTGAGTGCTCTGCTTTTGTGGGACACCTGCCACCCACTTCCTATTTGCTTAAAGCCACAGTATCTCTCATCCATCACACTTGATCCCTGCTCACACTTACTAGTAGCCTGACTTCTGTGCCTCTCACCCTGAGCTCCCTTGGGATAGGCAACAGTGAACGTCCGTGGCTAGCAACAAGGTGCTTCACAGCTGGGCTTCTCCATGCTCATGTTTTCCTTGTCCAGGTAAAATAGATCCTTTGCAGTCCCCACACTCACCTCCCTGGCCCCTTTTCTTCTTTCTTCCTTCATTCAGCAAATCTCCTGCTGCAGCTGCTGCTCTACAGGTGTCCCTGCAAAGCAGACAGCAGTACTGACCACATTCAGCTGATAGGCTCTTGGCCAAGGGCACATACTGTGGTGTTTGCTCAGGGCTGGAGTCAGCAGACTTCCTGCATATTTTAGCTCAGGATGTACCTAAGACATGCAAGTGCAAATCCAAAGCATAAACTCCTTTCTCCATGCAACTATCTCTCCTCTTTGGAAGTGAAACATCTGAACTAAGCACAAAAGTTGCCATGAGCCTTAACCTTGCAGACCACTCACATCCCAGGCATTCTCCTCCCAGGGCTTCCTGAGCAGGATGACATTAGAAGCCAGCCTTGGTTAGTGGTATTTCACTCATGTTTATTGTGGGCCAGGGGCCAAAGGGGACCTGGGATGAGCAGAGATGTGGCAACTGTGGGCTCTTATATTGAAGACATACCTCAAGACATGGGTTCTGGGAGACAGGTGTGGCCTCACAGCTGTGACAAGGACTGAGAGGTGGACGCAGATGGGTGGTCTGTGGGACAGAGGATAATGCAGGTTCTCAAGGAAGAATCTTGGATCATAGCTCAAAGCAAGTGGATCTACACAGACCAACACTGGAGGTTCTCAAACTGAGGATACAGAGGTGAGGTCCTGAGGAAAAACAAAGGCAAAGCTCTCAGGGAGACATGGAGACTTGCCTGCCCAGGAGAAAGTGGCTGAGGGCCACAGGGACCTGGGCATGCAGGCCTACAAACAGGTGATGCAGCCTGGACTCTACTTCAGAGGGATCCAGCCATATGTATACTTTTAGCTTGGGAGCAAAATGATCCATCCACATGTGCCATTCATTCTGCAAAGCTCCTGCTGCAGCTGCTGCTCTACAGGTGTCCCTGCAAAGCAGACAGCAGATCGAACCACATTGTTTGTGTGCTGGAGTGTGTTCACTTGGGTTGTATGTGGAGAATATATCCAGAGAGGTAGAAGTAGTAACATATTTTCCCCAAGAATCAAGTGCAGCCTCTGAATTAGAAACAGGCTCCCAGGTACAGGTGTGGAAGTTGCTCACAAAATCCCAAAGCCTTTGATTTTGACTAGTGTGAACTAAATCCAGCATGCCAATATTGCTATGTCCAGAGCCTAGATTTAGAACTGAGTCTGGCCAAGGAGAGGTGCTTGTTTCTAACTTGCTTGAAGGCCTTGCTTTGCCCACTACCCTCCATTGTGGCTTGAATGGGGAAGTTTAGGTGGTGTTAACTAAGGAGCCATCCGCACCCACAGAGGCCCAGGAGATATAGTGGTGGCTTAGACCACATTGATGTGAACAAGACAGTGAGACCTGGGCCACTTGGAGATACATTTGGGGGAGGAGGGAGCAGAAATGACAGGACATGGAATGATTCAAATTGGGATGAGCAGGGGGAAGGGGTGATAAATGACCACCAGGATTATAGCAAGAGGGTCTAAGAGGACACCAGGCAGTAGGCAGACATAGAAAATGATCAGTAGTTGCCTGTGGGAGTTGCCTGCCACATCCTCAAGGAAAAGTAGGTGCTGGGGCTGTCAGCTGGGACCATGGGCCCCCACTGGAAGCTGTTGATTTTCTAGATGTTTGACTTGTGGTCAAAATTTTAGAGCTTTGTAATATTTTGAACAACTAATAATAAAATTTTTTTAAAAAAATTTAGGTGAACAATTTCCATGGGGACAGTGAGTGCATGGCTCCTGGTTACATTCTTTTCAGTACCTTTTAAACACTAAGACTTTAAGTACTTATATGCTACGCCAAAGTTTAAGACTCAGAAGAGCAGAGCAGAAGATTCCAGGGTGCGCTGAATGCTTATAGTGAGAGTCTGTGATATCAACCAGTCAGAAACCTAAGTCAAAGTGAAAGACAAGAGGTTTAGAGACTGTCCATGTTCC